AGATGCATTACAGCTACAGAGTTAGCTTAATATGCGGCATTTAGAACAAGCTTTCAAAGGGATGGAAAAGGAAGGGGATTGTGTTTTTTCGATAAAGAAAACGATAGTAGTGAAGAAGAGTCAAATTCTGTTAAAACTGCATTACCGAATTTACCAGCGATGAAATACTGGAATAGTGGTACAAGGCACAACTTGACGCGAAGGGTTTCAAGTAGAAGTGTGAAAGACTTTTTTCCGGTCGCCAACATTAAATCAATATGCAGTTTGTGCCGGGTGCCGAATGCGGCTGCCAAATGGAACAGCTACTTGTCGATACTGCATTCCTGATCAGTATGCTGACAGACAACGTTGGATGGAAGTTCCGCTGGGTGTCGACAATGCTCAGGGATACGTTTGTTGATGTAAAAAGAATATATATGGGTTGAAACAAGCAGCAAGTGCTTCAACAAGAAAATACACCGTGTTTTCGTGAACAATGGCTTCAAGGGCTGCGGTGGAAACCAGTGCGTTTGTGTCAGATAATCACTTAAAGATTGAATCAAATTGGACTATAAGTGGATGACACGATTGTCACATAGAAATAGGCGGAGGGATCATTGAGGTCAAACGGGGCTTACATTATATTCAAGATGAAGGAGTTGGCAAGACGGAGCTCATTTTGTGCATGTAGATCGACCACGCAGGTCAGCCAAAATACTTACGATCAAGCAGACTTGCTACATTGACGACCTAATAAGATGATTCGGTCAACAGGTTTCCAAAAGTATCGATAACCCTTGCTCATTCGAAGTGACGTTGTCGTCACCGTCATCGCTTACGACAAAAGAGAGTGTTTTGATTCTGCACTCTGGATCATATCAATCCTTGATAGTGCTTTCTGAAATGTTTTTTTACTCGCCTGGATGATTCATACGTGACAACACTGCTGTTTCGTTTCCTGGAGAACCGCGGACTGTCACACAAAAAAATAGCCATTCGCGTGCAACGCCACCTGAATATTACACGACTAACCAATATCGTCTACCAAGTGTAGTGGTAACATTGCGATTCAGGCATGTTCAGATCCTGATTGGAGCAGCTATATTTGATGACAGACGTCCGGTCTCAGAAGTTACGGTCAGGATTGCAAGTCTTCAACTCAAAGTACCTGTGGACCGTTGCACTCAGCTTGGCGAAGATTGAGTACATAACTCTCAGCCGTTAAACTGAAAAAATACTTTGGACGCGCGCAATGCTTAAGAACATGCATTACGACCAAGTTGATATAGAACAAGTTTGCGAAGACAACCAACGGGCGATCGCGTCAGCCAACATCGTCGGTTCATGCTCGGACAAAGCACGTGGACATTTGACACAACTCTATACGCAAGAAAGTGCAAGATGAAATTTTAAAGATTGATACGAAGCGTCAGATGCAGATATGCTGACGAAGGCGCTAGTAGCTAAGAAGCTTGCGTTTACATGCAAGGCGAGACCAATCCAATGCCAAGGATCAACATGCGTAAATAACGAGTGGAAGTGTTGAGGTTACGCCGCCCAAAGTTTTGTTGAAGAACGACGTTGCGGTTACGTACATTTTACACGGATTAGTAGTACATTTTGTGCATGCAGGAAACGAAAAACGGATTATTCCAGCGGGTGGCCCCATTTTCATGAATTCCACCCAAAAATTAACTAATTACGCGATGTTTAAAGGGTCAGTGTGGGGTATCAGACGTACCCTCGTTTCGTGTAATGTTTTTTTTACCAGGTTGTATATTATCACGACAGAGTAATATAAATAGCAATGAATCGGGCGACCATCGTATGTTGCAAAAAAAATAATAACCAGGATGTTAACGAAATATTCTTAAAGTTTATGACGTTTCTGAAAATGGTTATAAAGTACGCGCCGCAGTAAGTAAACGACATGAGAAATGTGGCAGCAGTATAAGCACCAGCAAAATTCCCGTAATGCCTCCGTACATTGTCTTGGAACAACATTTTCATAAATAGCCAATATTGAATAACCAGCAATGCTTTCTCTTACAGAAGGGACATAACAGAAATATTTGAAAGTTCAGATACTATTATCGTGAATAATTCTTAATTCAAAACATAAATTTGACTCTTGAGTAGATCAAAATATCGAAGAACTGAAGTCTGATAGCTACAAATCTTTTTTACAAATTTTTACGGGAAAAGCGTTGAATTGATGGTAAAACCGGAAGTAAATTGTTTATTATGTTCATATTTGATCAATGCTATATCTTTACCGAATTACTCTGCCGTGAAAATATCATTAAACATTAAATGAATTAGCGGACGTTTGATACCCAGTAGTGAGCCTTTAAATATTGGGTAATAAACTATTTTTTAGGTAGAATTCATGAGAATGGAGCCTTTTGCTTGTGATGCACATTTTAAGCATTGCACGCGTGCTGAGAATTTTTTCGGTTTAAAGGGTAATTGACATACATTTAGTCTTCGCCGAGCTGAGTGCAACGGTCACAGGTACTTTGAGTTGAGACCAATCAATCGCGCGCTTGCGATCAACCTTTGAAACCGAACGCATGTTATCAGATATAGCTACTCCAATCAAGATCTGAATATGCTTTAACCGTAATGTTATTACTACCTTGGTAGACGATAATGGTTAGTCGTGTATTATTAAGTAGCGTTACACGCGAATGGCTGAATTATTGTGTGAAAGCACGAGGTTCTCTAAGAAACTTTACAGCAGTATTGTTTTAAGTAAAAAATATCCAGTCTAAATCCTTTTACATTAGGCAATCGATATGATCCCTGTGCATCTCCAAACGCCCATTTTTTGTTGTAGGCGACGACAAGGACGTCAAAGCAACTTTTAATACACATGGGCCATCGGTACTCATTGACTGAATCGTCTAAACAGGTCATCAATGCAGCAAATCCGCTTGATCATATGTGTTTTGATTGACCTGTGTGGTCGATCTACGTACACAAAATGAGCTCCGCCTTGCCAACTCCTTTATCTTCGATATATTTTAAGCTCTTTTTTTACCCCAATGATCTCCCGCGCTTATTTTTCTGTGACAATCATGTCATCCACTCATAGTTCAGCGGAAATTTAACTTTTCAGTACTCAAATGCACTGGCCCCATCCGTAGCCCTAAAATCCATTGTTCACAAAGGGTCGAGGTGTTGTCTTGTTGAAGCACTTGCTGCTTCTTTCAACCCATATATAGACTTTTTTACATTGTCCAACGTATTCCTGAGCATTGTCGACTCCCAGTGGAGCTTCTATCCAACGTTGTCTATCATCATACTGATCAGAGATGCAGTAGCGACATCCAGATCTTTTATTGCAGTCGCATCAGACACACACTGCATATACTATCCGAATTGAGGTAATGTTCGCGTCCGGGAAAAAGTCTTTCATACTTTTATTTGAGACGCTTCGCATCAAGTCGTGCCTAGTACCACACAACAGTGTCATTTTGATCACGCTTCTTAGAAATAATCTATCGATATTTAACTGTGCTATCGTTTTTTCATCTTGGCATGAATATCCACTTTCGATTTTGCTAATGCTCACTATTGTCCATTCCGACGTCTGTGACTGGTAATTTGACAGTTTCCATAGGTATGGCTCTCGATCCACTTCATTTTGAACATAATCACCATCACTAGGCTTTATCACTTCGACGGCCAGATAACCTTAAGCTTAGCATTTTCCAGGTCAAACACGCGATAATCTTTGACATGTTCCGCATAATCGCGAGACATTATTTGAAACTCTGGGTCCAAGCTTTGATCTCTTTGCATCGTGACATTAACGGAATACCGCGATTTGAACACACGTAAGTGATACATCCGAGGCGCTTCATTTTGAAAGTCGTATCAAGTGGCTTCATGTTGAATAAGGCTGTATTCGTCGAGCGACTTATCTAATAATCTGCGGTTTACAATGCTTCCTTTCACCATTCAATTGAAATATTCTTAAATAGCGCAAACTGCGTGACTTTTATCAATACAGTTTTGGCCATGCGCTCCGCCATCTCATTGTGTTGAGGACTATATAAAACAGGATGTTGGTGAACGATGCCGCTTCGACGACACACGTTTACCATTTTTTGCTCACAGATATTGTTCCGCTGTCGGAGTTGAAGCACTTGAGATCCCAAAATTTTTTGTAAAAGTTTTAATTTCCTTGACGAT